AAAAGAGAAATATACCAAAAGAGACACAAACATTTAACGTGGTTCGGTCAACTGACCTACGTCCACGGCGGAGATGAGCAATCCACTATATAAAAAGAGAGTACAGAATATCGAGAGAACAACCTCACGTAGAGGCAAACACAAGTGACACACTAACACTTGTCCCGTAAAGTTCTCCCCCTAAACACGACTCTCAAACCCCATATGGGTACATTGTGAATGCTACTGAATGAGAAGGGCGAATCCTCAATTTATAGAACTCCAAACATTTTCCTATAAGAAAAGGGACTAGCCAAATATGGAAGAATTATATTTTTCTTCTAGGAAAAGAAAAACCCAATTATGGTAAATATGTTGTCCTTTCCTTCATGAAATAGGAAAATCAATTATGGTAAGAAAATCTGAACAAACACCTAACAAGAGCAGTCATAGAGGGTGTTTGACTAAGCTTATAAGATGGTCAAACTAGCTTATAAGCATTCTTCGGCTTATCTACGCGTTTGGTAAAGTTAAAAATGCTTATAAGCCAAGTGCTTATAAGTCAAAAATAAGCCATAAGCTGGTCACCCCCAGCTTATGAATTTTTAGCTTATAAGCACTTTAAGTTTGACCAAGTTTTTTACTATTTTATCCTTAAAATATTCTTTTTCAGAATAAAACTCCTACATCGATACTCACTGCCTCAAGTATTCAACCTAACCCCCCCTTCAAGTCTGCAATTCTCATTAACTATTTAAGATAAGTAAATTCTCTGTTCCTTTGCATACGTATATCTATGTGATTGTGTATTAATCTTTGAACTTTATGTAGGACATATCAAATTTTTGGTGTATTGCTTTCTAAGTGTTGTGGTGATGAAGAAAATGTTTGTTTCTCTTCAATAATTTGTCCTATTTAGGTTTATTTACTGAGAAACTTTTGTCAATTTATTAATTATGCTTATCATAAAATAAATTATATTTATCTTAAAAATTATCTTATCTAAGCACAGTTGTATTTAAAATAAAATGACAAATAGAATATTTTGTATTTGAATCGATCTGGAATCTAAAATTTTGAAAAATTACGCCCTTATAAGTGTAAACAGTTCTAAGGTTATTTAAGTAATTTTAACAGAAAAAGAGTTTATTATCACTTTTTTATCAAATATTGCAGCAACTTATTATCAATTTCAGCACTTGTACACAAACACGTAACTGCTTATTTATTAAATCAGTTTCAGCACTTAAAAGTGCTTTTCAGCACCTAATGCTTATCAGCTACTTCAAATTAGCTAAACCATGTTAGAATAGTTATGTAAATAGGAGTAAATAACCCTAATCCAATATGTATTAGGAGTAGGATATGTTGTGTATATATATAGGGTTAATTGTATCGTGTTTTACACAAGTTAATAATATCGATATTATTTTCTCCCGTGCTTTCGCACATGGTATCAGAGCAGCAGTGAGAAAATATCCGGGAAAGTCGCTGTGCTTCAATTCCGGCAACCTTTTTAGGGCTGTTTTCAGTCAAACCAATTTACATCGGTGTTGTGCAAAAACCAACACTACCACAAGGTCCCCCAACCCCCAGCGACCAAACCCCAACAAACACCTCCGCCGGCAGACGTCTCACGCGACTCCACGCGCCGATCAGACAGTTTTTTTTTCGGCGAGCGCGTGGAGCACTTTCCGGGCAATTTTTGACTTCGTTCCTTCAGAACAGTTGGCTCGCCCTCAAAATTCGAGCGTATCCATAATTTTATTTTTTAATTCCGACCACTTTGAGTTTTTCCGGCGACTACACTGATTTTTTCCGGCAGATACAGTAATTTTCCGGCAAAAGTAGTGTTTCCTTCATCTGTTTTAGCGAGTTGTCAGTTGATTCTTTCTGTTATTTGGTGATAATCCATCGATGTCTTTGGGAGTCGATGCTTTCGGGTCTAAAAACCCGGGTTCTGGCAGTTCCGGTGTTATGATTACCTCAGAACCTTTAATGGGAGGTTCAAACTACTTAGCTTGAGCTTCTTCTGTTGAGTTGTGGTGTAAAGGTCAATGAGTTCAAGATCATTTAACACAAAAGGCTAGCGAAGGTGATGAAAAGGCCAAAACACTATGGGAGAAGGTCGATGCTCAGTTATGTAGTATCCTGTGGCGATCTATTGATTCCAAGTTGATGCCCTTGTTCCGTCCATTCCAAACATTTTATTTAGTTTGGGAAAAGGCTCATAATTTATACACTAATGACATATCTCGTTTCTATGATGTAATATCGCGAATGACAAGCTTGAAGAAACGGGAATTGGATATGTCTACTTACTTGAGACAAGTACAGGCAGTCATGGAAGAATTTGAGACGTTGATGCCAGTTTCTGCTAGTATTGAAAAGCAATAAGAGCAACGACAGAAGATGTTTCTAGTTCTTACACTCGCTGGACTCCCTACTGACCTTGATTCAGTACGTGACCAGATTTTGGCTAGTCCGACTGTCCCCACAGTTGATGAATTATTCTCTCGATTACTTCGCCTTGCCGCAGCACCAAGTCACCCAGTGAGCTCATCACAGACACTTGACTCATCTGTCCTCGTATCCCAGTCAGTGGACAATCGGGCATCTCATACTATGGAGAATAGACGAGGAGGAGGTCGTTTTGGAAGATCTAGACCCAAGTGCTCTTATTGTCATAAACTTGGACACACTCGTGACGTGTGCTATTCTTTACATGGTCGCCCACCCAAAAATGCTTATGTTGCTCAGACTGAGACTACAGGTAACCAGGGATTTTCTTTATCTGAAGGGGAGTATAATGAGTTCCTTCAGTATCGAGCAAGTAAGCAGACATCTCCACAAGTAGCCTCTGTTGCTCAGACCGATACTTCTGTTGCTGGTAATTCTTTTGCTTGTGTTTCCCAGTCTAGTACTCTTGGACAATGGGTTGTGGACTCAGCACTTCTGATCATATCTCTGGTAATAAATCACTTTTGTCAAATATTGCGTATTCACAGTCTCTTCCCACTGTTACTTTAGCCAATGGGTCTCAAACCAAAGCAAAAGGAGTTGGACAAGCAAATCCCCTACTCTCTGTCACTCTAGATTCCGTTCTCTATATCCCTGGTTGTCCTTTTAATCTTGCATCTGTTAGTCGTTTGACTCGTGCCCTCCATTGTGGTATATATTTTATTGATGACTCCTTTATTATACAGGACCGCAGTACGGGGCAAACGATTGGAACAGGACTTGAATCAGAAGGCCTTTACTACCTTAACTCACTCAATTCCTCCAAGGCATGTCTAGTTACAGATCCTCCAGACCTTATTACAGACGTTTAGGACATCCAAGCTTATCCAAGCTTCAGAAGATGGTGCCTAGTTTGTCTAGTTTATCTACATTAGAGTGTGAGTCGTGTCAGCTCGGGAAACATACCCGAGCCTCCTTTCCTCGTAGTATTGAGAGTCATGCAGAGTCTGTTTTTTCTTTAGTTCATTCTGATATATGGGGTCCTAGTAGAGTCAGTTCAACCTTGGGATTTCGTTATTTTGTTAGTTTCATTGATGATCATTCAAGATGTACTTGGATTTTCTTAATGAAAGATCGTTCTGAGTTGTTTTCTATATTCTAGAATTTTTGTGCTGAAATTAAAAATCAATTTAGTGTTTCTATTCGCACTTTTCGCAGTGATAATGCCTTAGAATATTTATCCTCTCAATTTCAACAGTTTATGACTTCTCAAGGAATTATTCATCAGACCTCTTGTCCTTATACCCCTCAACAAAACGGGGTTGCAGAGAGAAAGAATAGGCACATCATTGAGACTGCTCGCACACTTCTCATTGAATCTCATGTTTCGTTGCCTTTTTGGGGCGATGAAGTTGTCACACTTGTTATTTAGTTAATCGGATGCCTACCTCTCCCATCCAGAATCAGATACCGTATGCAGTATTGTTTCCCCAATCACCCTTATACTCTGTTCCCCCTCGTGTTTTTGGGAGCACTTGTTTGGTTCATAACTTAGCCCCTGGGACAGATAAGTTAGCTCCTCGTGCTCTCAAGTGTGTCTTCCTTGGTTATTCTCGTGTTCAGAAGGGATATCGTTGTTACTCACCTGATCTTCGTAGGTACTTTATGTCCTCTGATGTCACATTTTTTGAGTCTAAACCTTTCTTTACCTCTTCTGACCATTCTGACCACCTTGATATATCTGAGGTTTTACCTATACCGACCTTTAAGGAGTCTACTATAGCTCCTCCTTCACCTTCCGCCACAGAAGTCTTACCCGAATCTACTAGAGCTCCTCCTTTACCTTCCGCTACAGATTTCTTACCCATTCCAACCGTTGAGGAGTCTAGTGTGGCTCCTCCTAGACTCCATGTCACAGGAACACCACTCTTGACATATCATCATCGTCCGCACCCAGCATCAGGCCCAGCTGATTCACGTCATGCACCTGACCCTGCTCCTACTCCGGACTTGTCTCTTCCTAGTACACCGATTGCACTTCGGAAAGGTATACGGACCACCCTTAATCCTAATCCCCATTATGTCGGTTTGAGTATCATCGTTTGTCATCACCCTATTACGCTTTTCTATCTTCTTTGTCCTCTGTTTCCATCCCTAAGTCTACAGGTGAAGCATTGTCTCATCCAGGATGGCGACAGGCTATGATTGACGAGATGTCTGCTTTACATACGAGTGGTACTTGGGAGCTCGTCCCTCTTCCTTCAGGTA